CAGTCTCCAAGTGAATTTGCTTAGACTGATCCAAGTGAATTTGTTAGACTGATCCAAGTGAATTTGTTTGACTGATCCAAGTGAATTTGTTGACTGATCCAAGTGAATTTGTTTATCAGTCTCCAAGTGAATTTGTTTTCAGTCAAACAAATTCACTTGGATCAGTCAAACAAATTCACTTAGATCAGTCAAACAAATTCACTTCATAAAAAATATATTTATATACTTTTACATTTTCGAGAGAGCTACGACCGAAAAGCCCATGCAATAGTTCGATTCAGCACCCCTTCTGAGGTGCAAGGGAAAGGTTCTAAGGCAGTCTACTGTAGCACCTAATTTTGATCTCCTGACTAGAGAAAAAGCAGCACCCGCCGTCCATGCTAAGGGATGGTCTGTTATTTTTACAGTGTACCCACAGCTTAAAGTGCGGGGAATATTTTGTGGTATTGAACGGGCTTATAACGCTAGAAACCTGGTTTCGATACCCATGGTGGGCACAGCACAAATGTACCTTTTTCTACAAAAGAATTATAACTATTAGAGAGTGCTCGAGTTTCTGGGTCTGTTAAAAACCTGTATATGAATGGTATGTACCCAGCTGTGGACCACACTTATTTATTAAAGCCGCCAACGTGTTGAGACTCGTCGCCATTACCGAGGATGTGCGCGAAATTTGATTGTTTGTTGTGCGGCCGCGCATCCTAGATATAACACTCGTGCAGATGGTCATCTTTTGTATATGGTTGGTAGAGTCACTAGTCCAGATGGTCATCTTCTGTATATGGTCAGTAGATTCACTAGTGCAGATGGTCATCTTTTGTATATAGTCAGTAGATTCTCTAGTGCAAGTGGTCATCTTTTGTATATGGTCGGTAGAGTCACTAGTTCAGATGGTCATCTTCTGTATATGGTCAGTAGATTCTCTAGTGCAGGTGGTCATCTTTTGTATATGGTCAGTAGATTCACTAGTTCAGATGGTCATCTTCTGTATATGGTCAGTAGATTCACTAGTGCAGATGCTCATCTTCTGTATATGGTCAGTAGATTCACTAGTTCGGATGGTCATCTTCTGTATATGGTCAGTAGAGTCACTAGTTCAGATGGTCATCTTCTGTATATGGTCGGTAGATTCTCTAGTGCAGGTGGTCATATTCTGTATATGGTCGGTAGAGTCACTAGTGCAGATGCTCATCTTCTGTATATGGTCAGTAGATTCACTAGTTCAGATGGTCATCTTCTGTATATGGTCAGTAGATTCACTAGTTCAGATGGTCATCTTCTGTATATGGTCAGTAGATTTGTTTTAATTACCTTTTTCCTAATTATACCACGATGAACATAAACATACAGGAAGTTCCTGTCTTGATAATAAACCCAATCTCTGGATGTGGGTGACTTGGCTTGAGTTTTAATATAGTTCAAACTACCCTGCCACGATCTACTGTTTAAAGAAAAAGAAAGAGAAGGTGGTGGTCACTTTTAGAAGACTCACAGTTATCAGGTGTCGTTGTTTTTCATTGTTAATAAACTGTATTTTAAAATGAGGTAACCAAATCATCATCTTTTGTTTTGGTCTAATTTATTGACACTATATACACTTTCTAAGACTTTTAATTAACTTACCTACCACTTCAATATTAACTGAGAATTTCATAAGCCAAGTTCGTAGATAAAATCATTGGTAGCTCACCAGGACATTTTCCTGCATTTTGATACAATCAATCGCTTAAGAAAGATGTACCGAATGGATGTGACTATTTTTTTTCCTAGCTCTGAGGTGATAGTTTCTAAGGGTGAAATCGTAACCTATGGACCCTTTACGACAACAGAAACCGAAAAATTGATTTGGTGACGTTAAGATAATACAATAGGCTGGTTTCCAATAATCGTAAAGCTTCAAAAAAAATATACCAGGTCTAGATTGACTATTTGATCTGTTTTTAGTTTCATCAATGGAGATCTTATTGGTCCTAACAGAAATCAACTAACCAATAAGTATTGATCATACCCTCAAGTAGTATAACTAGTATACGTTTTGTTTCATATTCGGCCTTTTTTTGTTTGTAAGTAAAATCTGACCACTTTATTTCAAGATAGGACTAATAATAAATATATATCACTTTGGAAGCAAGTACGAACAACAGATAATTTACTTCCAAAGAGTCTTCAGGTTTTCGTAAAGACGCGTATGTATAAACTTTTGTTAAACAATATAATGAACGAACTTTTTGTGAACTTCGTCCAACTAGGCCTCTAGAATCAAGGTGAAAGAAGTGAACGCACTACTTGTACGGTACTTTGGTTTGTTTATTTTGACGTCATTGGCCTCAAAACAGCGATAAAATATCTAGCTGGCCGCAATTGGTTGGATACACCATTACACCCTGTCACATTTGTACGTAAACCCGTACTTATGAACTGTAGTTCTTCATCCCACTGTTTACAGTTTAAAGTATCTTGTAAGTAGAAGTTGATAAACATTATTTAATAAGTTTTATTTTTATATGTAACATAAGAGACTATAAAACGTTTTCTATTTGTTTAGTGTATGTGTAGTAACTATAAAAACACATTGTTATAATTATTATTTAGTTGGGTGATTAATATATATGTATATTTATAATAAGTCTTCAGAATGACGCTGACTTCATGTTTTTTACTGACCTCTTAACATTGTTTTAGACTACATATATTTTATGGTGTTTACATCACAGATGACTACATATATTTTATGGTGTTTACATCACAGATGACTACATATATTTTATGGTGTTTACATCACAGATGACTACATATATTTTTTTATGGTGTTTCATCATATATATAGTTGGTGAAGATAACCGGATTCTGCTTGATCAAGGAGGACAAAATGGCAGATTTCAAAAAACCTCAGATGCAACTCGTCGACGGGTTATTAGTACCCAAGTATATGTTCAAAGAAGACAAAGTCCGATCTGCTATGAGATTCCAACCCAAATCAGGAGATGTCATAATTGCTACTTACCCAAAGTGTGGTACAACTTGGACTCAGTATATAGTATGGGGGATTCTTCACGATGGGTCACAACCTCCACATGTGCATGAAATGTTTGGTAATGAAGTCCCTTTCCTTGAACTCACAGGAGCTGAGGCTGTAGAACATATTCCACCCCCTAGAGCCTTCAAAGTTCACTTTTCATTCCCTTACATCCCTTACAGCCCGAAATGTAAGTACATTGTTGTTGTGAGGAACCCCTGGGACTGTTGTGTGTCTTATTTCTTTCACACCAAGCACATGGTCTCTGTCAACCAGTTTGAAGAAGGAACATTTGAAGACTTCTTTGAATGTTTCGTCAGAGGTGAAGTGGCGTGGAACGACTACTTTGACCACTTGATCTCGTGGTTCATCCACAAAGACGACCCCAACGTCCTCTTTTTAACTTTCGAGAATATGAAGAATAATCCCAGAGAAGCCGTAATTCAAATTGCCCAGTTTCTTGGAGAAGAATACGGTAAGAAAATCTTGGCTGACGAAGATCTTTTGACAAAAATACTCAAACACACTAGTTTTGACTACATGAAGAGTAATCTTCCATTTTTCGAGCCTCTGGACCAGGAAGTACAAGAGAAAGCTGGTCCAGGAAATCTTCCAGCACCAAAATCCGAGAACGATATGGAAAATTTCAGGAAAATCGATTTTTTCAGAAAAGGAAAAGTTGGCGATTGGCGTAATCACATGACTTCGGAACAAAAAGAGCGACTGGAGAAAAGAATGAGAGAAAAAATTAAAAATTATCCAGGTATAGCTTCTTTATGGGAGGACATGTTTTAGCTTTATCATCTTCCTTTTAAAAAGATATTAAGATTTTGTCGTAAACTCTGAAAACCGATCGTTATTTCTATTGTAATAAAAGTATAATACATTAAACATCAGTATAACAGAGAAGCTAAATGTGTACAGATACAGTTTGTTTTCAAAGATAAATATGAAACACAAATTCAACTAAAGAGAAACAGTGAACAAAAAATGTAGTATTTTAGTTAAAAGTTTCAAATGTTTTACAACCTAATATTAGATATACACACACAGATAGCATAAAATTATCTTAAAACCGCTCTATATTTGCCATACAGGTCCGAGTTCCTTAATTGAGGTTCTTTTCTTTACTTGGTGTCTCATTATTATTATTAGTGAAGGCTCTCGTAAATTATGTTGTTGATGTAAAGTTGCCTTAGTCTATTAGCTTAATAAATCGTTGCTCAGAAAAGATCAAGTTTCGAATCTCCAAACTTCTCTTATCTAAAGGCAGTTGAAATGTAAGGCGGGAAATCCCCTACTTTTCCACCCTACACAAAGGAAAAAATTAACTTGTAATACAGTTTATCGTGTACAATGTACAGACTAGAGTTGCTTGGCTGACTTGATGTCTTATAACAAAATCCCCAGGACGATTATGATAGGTCAACAAAACATCTTCCAACTGCCCTATTAGTGTTTCCCAATTCAAACGTTTTGAAAAGTAATAACCTTCCAAACTGTTAACTGGAGCATCAGACCTATTTCGAACATAATGACCCCACGTCAACCCCCCAAAATCACGTTATTTCACTTTTAAACAAACCCCAGCAGCAGAAATATATATATATAGTGTTTCTACCTTGAAATGTTTTTCCAAAATAGGTGAGATGGAAAACTGAAAAGAAGAAAACTCACAACATCTGGAAGCTTTATACGTTTAATATCAGATTTGTTTACGACAGTAGAAACTCATTGGTCAAGACATATAGAAGAGAAGACAATAGACAGTTCTGCCCGAAACCTTGAAAAATAAAAAAATATGTGTACGATACCTATTAAGTATAAACTTACCACCTGTATGATGGTTATAAATCAGTAACGAACTTAGCAAAAACAGGAGAAAAGTCAAACCATTAAAGCACGTGCCACTAAAATTATGAAAAGAAGGTTATAGACCTTACTCTCCTACTTTGCTCAAGGTGGTGAAAATTACTGGCACGCTTACTTTGTCTAGAAAGTAAACTATGTCTCTCATCAAAGGCAAATTAGAAAGCCACGTTTGTATACCAAAAACTCCACCACTCTTCCTAATAGTAAAATAAGGAACTTGGCAACGATTAGAAGATCAACATTCAATATATCATTACGATAACAAGCACAAAATCACACTAGGTATAATATTCACGTTTCTGCTGTAAAAACACACAAAGAAGGACTACACTATGTGCCCTCTGTCCAGCGCAGATTTTAGTGTCGTATGTCCATAAATTGACCACTTACTCTTCGATACAAAACTCTCATTATTTCAATAGGGATAAAAATATAACGAGAATGCTAAAGAAAACCGGGTTTAACATTTAAAAAAAAATGTAACCAAATTTATATGTTATGAACTATTATCTAGAGAACTTGGGATAAAACCGGACTTTATCGGTTTGTTTGAACGCTTTTTTGTTTGTTTGTTTTAGCTAACAACAGGAAATCGAGATCTATCTAATTAAATCCCGGGTTTTAGCATTGTAATTCTGTAAAATACCACCGAACGATCTTAACCATTTGGGCTTTACACAATAATCTTCTGTCGTAGGTAAAATCACACGTGATCCTTTTATAATATGATTCACGATCACTATACATAGTTTGTTTTAAATTTCGCGCAAAGCTACACGACCCCTCGTGTAGCTTTGCGCGAAATTTAAAACAAACAAACAATACTTTTACTTGAGAAAAGAAGGTTAAGAGGTTATCAAGAGGGTAAAAACCTCGGATTTCTCTGTGCCTTATTGTGAAAATAATAAGATGAGAGGACACAAATGTAGGGGGGTTAGAAAAGTTTTATTGCTCCAACAGGGCGATTTTCTTAAGGAATAAATTGTTGTCGGTAGTAGTGGCGGCCAGCGCTTTAAAAAAAGAGAAATCGTTAGTTTTCTCAAAAAGATAGCCTTGGTTATTCAAATGGATCCTTGATGTCTGTATTCTGTCCGAGATTAATTATTATATATTTCCTAGAAAGGGCCACACATCGTAGTCAAGAACATGCTCGAACTGTTCGATCGTTTATTGCTCCTGTTTGTAACCTCTAGAATAACCATGCTATCCACCATTTCTGATAATGGGAAGTAGAATACTTATTGATAAAGATTTTCTCACAATAATACAAATATTACGTGATATTTTTAATTTTCATAATCTTGGCTGGTAGTTGATCTATGTGCTAATAATTTGACTTGATTGCTGGGGCTCGGACTGAATTGTATCTATGTTAAAAGTACCAATGTCGTGTACTCAAACGTCTTCTACTTTCTGATAACGTCGTGGTTTAAGATTACCTCTACTTTCTGTTAAAGTAATAACGTCGTGGTTTAAGACTACCTCTACTTTCTGTTAACGTAATAACGTCGTGGTTTAAGACTACCTCTACTTATTGTTAATGTAGTAACGTCGTGGTTTAAGACTACCTCTACTTTCTGCTAACGTAATAACGTCGTGGTTTAAGACTATCTCTACTTTCTGTTAACGTAATAACATCGTGGTTTAAGACTACCTCTACTTTCTGCTAACGTAATAACGTCGTGGTTTAAGATTACCTCTACTTTCTTTTAACTTAGTGATTTTAAGCTACCTCAACTTATTGTTAATGTAGTAACGTAGTGATTTAGGACTACCTCAACTTATTGTTAATGTAGTAACGTGGTGATTTAAGACTACCTCGACTTATTGTTAATGTAGTAACGTGGTGATTTAAGACTACCTCGACTTATTGTTAATGTAGTAACTTGGTGATTTAGGACTACCTCAACTTATTGTTAATGTAGTAACGTGGTGATTTAAGACTACCTCGACTTATTGTTAATGTAGTAACTTGGTGATTTAAGACTACCTCGACTTATTGTTAATGTAGTAACGTAGTGATTTAGGACTACCTCGACTTATTGTTAATGTAGTAACGTAGTGATTTAAGACTACCTCGACTTATTGTTAATGTAGTAACGTGGTGATTTAAGACTACCTCGACTTATTGTTAATGTAGTAACGTGGTGATTTAAGACTACCTCGACTTATTGTTAATGTAGTAACTTGGTGATTTAAGACTACCTCTACTTATTGTTAATGTAGTAACTTGGTGATTTAAGACTACCTCGACTTATTGTTAATGTAGTAACGTGGTGATTTAAGACTACCTCGACTTTCTGCTAACGTACAACGTCGTGAATCAATTTAAATTAATTCCTTGCAACTTTTCCCCGTATATCTGTTAGAGACAGCAAAACAGTACATCTCACGGGCAACCGGATTTCCGGAGAGACAACTAAAGACGTTTGAGGAAATTCGATCTTGCTTTGTTTTACTGTTCCTTTTGACTGTCCTGATAAATGTTTATATAGAAAATTGCAATGAAGAAATAATATAATTTACCGGATTTTTTTTTAAGTAATATAGATTAATAGTGGACATATCTCGTTCCTAGAAGAGTACGGATAAAAAAAAATCAATCAAACGTGATGAGACGATGTTCTGGAAACTCGTATTCCCTCGTGGTGTGTACATTTTTAATGTACTTGATAAAGAAAACTACCCTTGGTAAGTTTTTTTTAAGAAACATGTGCTCTAACTAGTAAAAAAATGGCACATCGTTAACCGATATTTGTTAAAACTACAAATTTAAATGCAAAAGATATAAAAAGTCACAAACTCTTTCAGTTCAAAGTCCTAAGCCTAATTCATGTAAAGACCTTGCACTCGCCAGTCAATATCTCTTAATAGCCACTATTGACTGTTGTAGAAATAAAACAGTTTATAAGCAGGTATCATAATTATGATAAGTTCGCGCGTGTCATAGATATCGCAGTTACTTAATGTTAAATTTTAAGTGAAAAACGACTCCGAGACAAGGACTTGAACCCTGGACTTCTGTCTGATAGAAAATTACGAAACCACTGAAATATCCAAGAGTAGAAACTATCCCGTCAACCTTTACATATAAAGTTTATTAACTATGTTATGATAGGTTCAAAAATCAAATCATAAGACATCTATCTCACACTAACATTTATTTTTAATTTCAATAAGAAACGAAGAAAGGGGTAACATTTAATATTAAAGTTTAAGTGAACAACGGCTGCGGTATCGGGACTTGAACAAGGAATCTCTGGCTACCAGCGAGTAATATACTCGGAGTATATTTCTAAACGTCTAATAAATATGTGGTTATTCGTCAGTTCTGTAGTTGTGTCGATCATCACCAGACTACGTTTTCCGCCTCGTGAATCTAGGTTACGTGCTGTTTTGTGATTGAACGAGTTTTCTTAATTAAAATATAATTATGAACATGTAAACCTTGAAGCAAAAAGATTTTCTGTTGTACGAGGAGTTTTGTGCTCTACATCTCTGAAGGAATAAAAAAATAATATTCGATTTTTTTTTGTACGTTTGCAACAAATTAGATAACGTTTGAGCTTTCTCTTGTATCTTTGTGAGAGGTTAAACACATTTTATTTTGCATTTTGAAATTCTTAATTTGCTTGTACACAAAACAAATTTGAACGTAGTCGAGTAAAAAACACCGGGATTTGTTTCGGGAATTCAAATAAAATTGTAAGTTTTTTAGTAGACAAATACACCTGAATCTTGTCGATCCAATAATACACGGAGGGTTGAGTACGTTACATTAAAACTATTTTGAATGTGCAAATCAGAAAGTCACGTTCAGGTTCAACGGAATATATTAGAACTACATTTTGATATTGATTGGTGTTACGTAGGTAGCGCTTTGTCGCCGAAAATTCTTCACTTATAAGAAGTGTATGTAACAGTTCTTTTCAATGCAAAATATTCAAACACTTAGATCACAAAGATGCGTCCAGATCAATCAGTGATCTAGTATTTTCAAAACGGGGATATTCCTTGTACTTAATGACATTGGAAAACAAAAGAATATGGATCAACTTGGGACACCAGGATCACCCAGAAATAGACCTACAAAAAATCGTACCCCCATACGTGGTAAGCAATGTGCTTTGTTGTCCGGTAACAAGTAAGAGCTCATGAACACAAAGATAATTCACATGTCTCAGGTAGCAGTGTGAATGACATGTATGTTCATACTATTCCACAAAAAGATATATTGGTCAATTAGCTAGACACAGCACCTGTGGATTTCTATAGGATCAGGCTGTTGAAAGGTATGCTAGAAAATCACCATTCTAGTACATGCAATGGATTACGGAAAGCACTCAGAGGAGATGTGGCGTGCTTTGGACGTGACATCAATTGCTACGTAGCCTTTTACATTGCAGGGTTTGTTATCAAAATGCACGATTGTTAGATAGCTCGTTACAGGGTCGTGGTGCCATGGACTGTAATGACGTGGCGAGACATATACAAGGTACTCCAACTTGTGTATATTTATGTAATGTATATGTGTTAACAACAAAGATAACTTGAAAATATAATTGAAATTTGTTATATATGTCATATATGTTACATATTTGTATGAATTGATTTTGCTTCTGTTATTATTTTGACGTATTATATTAAAATATTGTAACTTTTTTATCTTTTTAGCTAATTTCTGTACACCACCCCCTGCGATTCAAAATGGGAACATCCATGATGTAGGTTATTACAATCCAGTAGGTGCAGAAGTCCGATACAGCTGCCATAACGGTTATTATCTTGAGGGAAGAAAGACTCGCAAGTGTCTTGAATCTAAGGTTTGGTCAGGCGAAGAACCTAAGTGTTTAAGTAAGTGTTTACTCACACCGAGTAGTGTCATGCTAGATCTGATAATGGGGCTTGTAGGGAAGTTAACTCCAAAATGTTGCTTCATTCTAGTGTCAGAAATATTTTCTTTAGATAAAAAATGATATCGATAGAATAAATAATCGATGAGATAAGAAATTTCTGTTGTAATTTTATATAGACATATCTTAATCAGGAGTGTCACTTCATAAAAGGCTTGGAGGTGAGGTTTAAGAAGTTGATCACATGTGGGCCTCCCAATTCCAGCTGAGAGCCCTAGGCTATGGCCTGACTAGAAATATCTCGCAGAAACTACCATTTGGGGGCCCCTTACACGAACTTGAGAGTGCCCCTGATCTTGTTAACTGAAACAAATTTTGAAACATGAATGTAACTAGGGTGAGTGGGGTAGAAAAGAACATGTTTTTCAAACATTTGTTAATTGGTATGCCATGAAATTTTAACATATGATTTTTATTAACTGGAAACTTTCCATCTGACTCTAGTTATTGACTGTGGCTTCGTGATATACAATAATCCGAAAGGAAACATTGTACAAGTGAACGGGACAACAACATTTGGCAGCATACTTAAGCTACGATGTAACGAGGGTTACGTGGTCGCTGGTGGTCAAAACCTCATGGTTTGTCAGAACAACAGTCTCTGGAGTAATATCGATTTACACTGTGCGGGTAAGTATGCAAGTACGATTGTTATAAAAAATACTGAAGGATTGTTTGTTTGTTACTAAACACACGAAGATACACAATGGCCCATCAGTGCTGTGTCCATCGCGAGCGTCGAAACCCGGTTCTTTGGCGTTATATATAAACTTGCAAACTTATCGCTGAAACTACAATGGGGGGGGGGGGGCTATTTGACCATGTTATACTTGGATCATGGGGGTACTTATATTTTCTCAGAGAATACAAAATGAAAAGCCTGGTGATTAGGACGATCATGAATGATCTTAGAGTCTCTGGTTCGAATCTCGTCACCAAACATGCCCTCTCAGCCGTGGGGGCGTTATAATGTGACGATAAATCCCACTTTTCGTTGGTAAAGAGTAGCCCAACAGTTAGCTGTGGGTGGTGCTGACTAGCTGCCTTCCACTTCTAAATAGGGGACAGTTAGCGTAGATGTTCCTTAAATATTTTTGCGCGAAATTCAACAAACAATAGAAAATGAAAAATATATTTTTTCTACCTACAATAATGTCAGTGATTTATAATATAATAAAAGAATGTGACTGTGTAAGAATATTTCAACAAGTACTCCTGTATCCAAGTAAATATCTAGAGCAGAGGACGATTGACTTTTCTGGTGGTACCCAGTAATTTATTTATTACGTTAACCCTAATGTAGAGATAAGCTGTGGCCTTGTCGAAACCCCGGAAAATGGGGTCTGGATCCCTACGAATAAGATCAACAAGACTGTAGTAGGAACAGTCTTGAAACTTTCTTGTCTCAGTGGGAGTGCCACCCCACCTCAAAATGCGACAGTTCGTTGTCAACCCAATGGGACTTGGACCCCAGTCATGGCCGTTTGTGGAGGTGAGTAACATTGCAAGTAAGGTACATTTATTTATTTTCTTAACATTTAATATGATAACAAAAGTTTGAATAAAGAAGAGTGTTAAGGGAAATAAGTAAAAATAAGGAAGTTTAAGAAATCTCTCTAGATAAGGGCATATACACAGAACTACACGAACTTGTGAAAATATTATATATATATATATATGGTAAATAGGAATTACGAAAACAATGCGACAAACATGAAGCTTGTTACCAATAACAATCAAGTGTATATAATACAGAGTTAAACACGAGTTTATTATTTTGTGGGCCTGGTGGTTGCGGGATCGAATAGCGTCCTTTCAGCCTCGGGGGCGTTATAATGCGATATTCAATCCCACTATTCGTTGGTAAAAGAGTAGCCCATAAATTTGTCGATGGCTCTTGTTTACATTCCCTCTGGTTGATAGTTCAAAATTAAGGACGGCGGTAGATAGCCTTGCTTTGCCATGAAAAAAAAAAACACACACAAAAATTACTTGCGTAACTTTTTGTTTATACACTCACACTGCTAATAAAACATAAAGTGCTAATATTCAAGCTATTAAACATAATACGAGGCTTAGTTGTCGGTATGTTTCACTCGATATCTGAAATATGGTTCTACCAAACACGTTTCAAATTTGCAGTTGTGTTATAAAACCGAGTCTGTCTCGCTATTGGGTTAAAACTAGCCGTTTCAGAGAGCCGGAAGCTGTCTCCCCCCCCCCCCTGTAAATTGATTAATTTCATTCTTAGTTACACCCCCAGGATAACATGATTTCTCTAGTAAGTAAAGTGCGTGAATTAGAGCGTGTGTTGAAGTTAAAGTGAGTGTGGAAATTAAGTGTATTGCAAAGTTGTACTGAGAAAGAATAAACTCGTTTTATTTAAGAAAGGACTTGTATCGCTGAAGTTCCTCGTGAAGAAATTTTACGGGAAATTAACAAACGAACAGAGACGTAACAATACTGTATAACTCTCTAATGACAAAAATATTTTTATTACACAAGGTAAGGTTGAGATACGATTATCGTGGTACGTAGCTATGGGTTAAGGTTATTTAAACATTACTTTATTGTAGAAAATGGAAGATCGTCGTCGACACCGACAAAATTAATCGGTGAGTACCTTATTTTTTATCTTTCTCTAACGAAAAATCAATATAATAAAAGTATATATATCAGTGAAGTGTGACAGTATTAAGTATCATTTAAAGAGTCTGGTATTAAAAAGCAAAAAACGAAATGAAAGGCAAGAATGTGAAGTCTGATGTATATTTTAAACTAAAGCAGATGAGTTAGAATAATCTTATCGACCATAAAAAAAATTTGTATTAAAAAAAACTTCGGTCATATGTCTTGCGGTATATTGTTTAATGTTGAAATTCCAATGAAACATTAATCATAAAAAAATGTGTTGTAGGAAGAAGTATGGAATGATTTAAAAACATCTTACATCAGTTCCGAATATGACGTCACAAAATAAATAACAAATGTAACGTACACACTTCTGCCCTTTTATTTCAGCTACTATTACTGGTCTCGTTCTCCTCGCTGTTCTTATAGTAACCGCTGTTGTACTGTTGAAGAAAAGGTACGTCATTTTTTAACACTTCATAATTCACCCAAAAGAGGTGTACGATTGTTAATTAAAACTTTGACATGCTTACAATAATGAAAAAAAATAATGGTACCGATTGAAAATAGGAATAAGTTCGAAATAAGACATGCGAATTTTATTATTTTTCTCTCTTATCAATATAAATTTTTGAAAATTAACATTTTCCAGCACCAAAAAATATGTAACTCACACGTTGGCCATGAGCACAGCGCGAACTTGATGAGATTTTCAGATAAAAAATTTTCTTAAATTATCATGACCAAGAATCACTGGAGGACAGACAGACATTTCAATAGACTACAGATGAGGGTCACTAAGGGACAGGCAGACAATTTTGTGCCTACAGCAGTGCCGCTTCAAAACACTGGTGGACTCTGGGCGAAGTAAAAACTAGCGCCCCCTACCCTGCTTACTTTTGCTTTAAAGAAAATAACATACAATCTGATCAACTGAATTTATTAGTGATTTAAATTAAGGAAATATAAAATTATTATATATATTTCTTTTAAAAACTGTTTTTATTTTATTATAAACTTCCCCTTTTGCCCATTGAATAAAACGACCCTGGGGTATAGATATGGTTACCGAATGACAGACAGTCTATGTGGCTACATATATATATAGGTCAATAAGACAGACAGACATTATATGAGGTCACACACAAGAGATAGTACTATAACAGTTTTTAATTTATGTACTAACTTTTGTTTTGTTTTTACTTTACAGAAAGCAACAATTTAAGTACACCGCACACACTGATGGAACTAGGAAATGTTTATCTAGGTCAACAAAGAAGAAAATTGGAGCTATTTTCTACATTAAACCATCTGAAAACAGTCATTATTTAACACTTTTAGAAGACACGGAACAAGATAATACACAAGATTCGGTGACCACTACCTCCGGTTCCTTTAAATGACCAGTAATTCTGTGTGGAAGTATTAGAATAACGTCCAGAGATGGAAGAACACAACCAACATGAAAAACTAATTCAGGCCCAAGTTATTTTATCCTTTTTTTATGGCCAATGTGTAGCATTGGTAACTTCACTACAGAAACTGTACCATAAACATCTAACATAAAAATCATTTGTTAAGAGCTGTGATTTTATTTTATTCCCAAGACGGGTATAATTTAACCTGGCAACGAGAGTATACTTAAAAATATTACGAAAAAACAAAGAGGACGTTTTTTGGCAAACGTTTCGGTAACGGAATTGCCATCATCATGACTGAAATGCCTAATAATTGTTTTATAAACACTGTTCCAAAGAAAATTGCATTTTTTTTACTCTTAATATAATAGCACAGTGTGCCTGAAATTATGTACTTAAAGTAGCTCTAAAAGTAAAAAGTGGTAATAATCCTGTTCGTTTTGTTTAGTTGTAAGGCAGTGAGGTTGTAGAAATGAAGTCCAAGTGATTTACTGGAATAGAAAACATGTTCTTTTTTTAGAGTAGCACACCTTCTGACTCTTCCAACACTATCCTCTAGACCAGGTACATTTCAGTAACTATAGCAACCTATATGTGGCTGTTTTTAATAGTACAGGTGTATCTTTTGCCAAGGTGTACAACTAATCTTATCTTCAGCCCTGTAACCATAACTAGCAACTAACCTTTATTAAAATTGTGGATTATCATTACTTTCTGGATTTGGAAACGTAACACTACACATCAAGATCTAGAGGCCTGGCATAGCCAGGCCGCTCGACTCGTAATCTGAGGGTTGCGGGTTCAAATTCCCGTCCCATCAAAGATGCTCGCCTTTCAGCCATAGGGGCATTATAATGCGACGGCTAGCGCAGATATCCCTCGTGTGGCTTTGCGAGAAATTCAAAACAAATCAAACAAACGTATAGAACTTTGTCATCATAAATTTATATTGATTTATTTGACAAGAACGAACGCTCAAACTTACTTAACAAAACCTGAAGTTGCTGTAAGCTTATATGTGCCAAAGTAACTTTCATTTGAAACATCTGAAATTGACTTTTATGAGAAGTTGCGATTAGATATATTTAACCCATGAACATAATGACGTAAAATTTTCGAAAAATTAAAATACGAAAAATCGATATCAGTTTGTCATACTAGTTATACAAGAAATTTGTCCAGAGCCAGTCTTTGCACCTATGCAGAAATGACATTTCATGACTTTTCAATGAATATTTTTAGAAAGTCAAGGATCATTTCGTGTGGATTATCCGAAAAGCTGCAGCCGGACTCACATATTTTCAAATGTAAATTTTATCTTCTTCGTTACACCACACTCACGAACAAGTTGGTCTAGGCCTAATGGTAGCTGATTAGGCCTTTAACGATAAATGTTAGGCCTATATCCCTCTGTGCTGAATTAATTAGATGCCTATAGTCGCATTGATTTAATTTTTTTTACAATATTATATTGTATATATCCAGGTCTAAAAGTTAGATCTAGTTTTAGTATCTAGGCCTAAATAAGTCTTACTAACACGTCTAATGTTAGTATCTAGGCCTAAATAAGTCTTACTAACACGTCTACTGTTAGTATCTAGGCCTAAATAAGTCTTACTAACACGTCTAATGTTAGTATCTAGGCATAAATAAGTCTTACTAACACGTCTACTGTTAGTACCTAGGCCTAATTTGTTCAGTAGACGTGTTGGTAAGACTTATTTAGGCCTAGATACTAACAGTAGACGTGTTAGTAAGACTTATTTAGGCCTAGATACTAACAGTAGACGTGTTAGTAAGACTTATTTAGGCCTAGATACTAACAGTAGACGTGTTAGTAAGACTTATTTAGGCCTAATCTAACACTTAGATTCTAACGTTAATCATGTTAGTGACTGATTCGTTGGAATTATTTAACATCTAACCTATGCAGAGATGCCTGGAACTTAAAAGCCTTATAGAGTATACCATGTTATGCAAAACTGTAAACTCTTAATACAAACATTAGTATTTTTTCATTATCTTATGGCCAAACTTGCAATGTTTAACAAAATATTTGAAAAAATAAAACAGAAACTTACCCGGTTAAATCTTGGTATCAACAGATCAGTTAAAATATGGTAATTTTATTTTTCATAGGATATTAGTACTATTATTAGGCCTATTAAATTTTAAACACTACATTCTTAATCTAGTCCTTTAGAGATATTCAAGAATTATTAGAATGTATAATAATAATATTCCAACCACACTATCATATCCCTAATAATGCAGTGTTTAAAAATGTAATAGTCTAATATTAATTTATTATGACAAATATAATCGTAATCATTCTTCGCCAGCCTGTAAAAGGCATATATATATCATAACCATGGCAATCTATACTTGGATCCGCGCAGCATGTCAGACGACAACGTGCACATGCGTACACTGTTAAAACAGTCCGTTTGAATGATAAATGATGTTTTCAAACTGTTTAATTTGCTTTCAACTTCAATAAAAGTATTGGATCAGCTCCTTTGTCTAAATTTTAAAACTTTTCCAAAACCTTTCTAATTTTCCATAATATTTCCAGTCCTGGAAAAGACGTTTAAAAATTGTGAAACCTTTGAAAGATTCCCAGAACCGCGGGAATTCTGGAGATAATCTTAACGGGTGAGTACTATCGAGTTGTACGAAAAAACTACAAAATGAGCATCTATATAGTTAGCTAACATTGAAGTATATTATACACTATTATTCCTTTTCCAATATAATGGTTAACTAACTTTGTTTTATATATTGATATTAACAACTCAAAACCAGATAATTAACTGTTTTATATACTGGTAGTAACAGCTCAAAGCCAAATAACTAACTTTTATATACTGGTATTAACAGCTCAAAACCAGATAATTAACTGTTTTATATATCGGTATTAACAGCTCAAAGCCAGATAATTAACTGTTTTATATACTGGTATTAACAGCTCAAAGCCAAATAATTAACTGTTTTATATATTGGTATTAACAGCTCAAAGCCAAATAATTAACTCTTTTATATATTGGTATTAACAGGTCAAAACCATATAATTAACTGTTTTATATATTGGTATTAACAGCTCAAAGCCAAATAATTAACTGTGTTATATATTGGTATTAACAGCTCAAAGCCAAATAATTAACTGTGTTATATATTGGTATTAACAGCTCAAAGCCAGATAAGTTTAACTCTAATTTTATGGTATGGTTGTTAAAGCTGGCAAAGCAATGAAATCAAATAAGTGTGATAATGAATCTAAAAATAGCATTTCATATTTGTTTTTTGTCTATCACAACTTGTCAACTGGGCTGGACTGTCCATCTAAAGAGCTAACTTTTAGTTTTGAACTTTTTATAATAAGTAAGACAGAGTTTAAAATATTCATCTTCAACTTTATTACTTTCTAAACACATTTTTTTAATAACTTGATATCAATTTTTCTAAAAAGAAAAACAACCTTATAAATACAATCAACAAATTCTCTATGAATTGTTTTTATTGACACTAGAATTCCATTGTTATCATCCAGCATGAAAAGATGAACATCTGAAGTAACAAAAACTTTACAGTTACTTTTGTGTTAAACAGTTTTGATAAGAACTCGTCAGTTCTTTAAATAACAATTTAGGACTCTGCTTCACACACACACAGCAGCATTAATTCAATTAAAATTGTACGTGTCCATGTTTTTTAAAATGTTGAAAAAGAACAAAACAGACAGAAAATCAAATGAACACTATATAAACTGCTAGCTGCGCAGTGTTAGATATTCACAACAGTACAGACAAACATGCACATGTAACCTGAATGAATAACACTTTCTAATTCTACACTCTCAGAATATTTAGCTACTTTAAGATATCTTAAAATGAAAATTTTCTTTAGCTAAACGTAACAGGAAATGTCATCTTATTCTGGCTTTAAACACTAAAAGAACACTAGTTTGGTATTTATCATGTGTTAAAAAATGTGATACAAACAGCTTCAGTTTATTTCTAGCCAACATTACATGTAGACTGGACTTTTTTTTCTCTCTTTAAGATCACGAGTTGTTGGTAGGTTGAACCCGAATCTGTAAGAAACCAGACTAACTATAAGAAAAACAACTTCTTTTAGTGTAGTAAAAAAAATACTCACATATTGAGGCACTACTAGTTTTATGTCGCAATATTAATAGATAAGGTACAAGTAAAAATAGTTGAGACAAATTATGGATTGCATATCATACACTTTATTTTATTTTTGTGAGAGACACAAGTAATCAAGACATTTCAGCTTTAAATGTTACTTTAAGCTCACTGAGATGAAGATCCAAACAGTCGCTTGCTTTGCTGGTGTTTAAAGTCATCACTGATATCGAGTTCATTAATACTAAATATGATGAATTTTTGATGAAAATTTAAATATTTTCAGATTGTGATGAAAAATAAAGCCCGAGATTAAATGGTCAAATATCTACTAACACAATAGTTTCTAATGATCATTTAGGAAAATGTGGAGCACACAAGTTACAGTTCAGTTAGTTCAAAAACTAGAAAGAAAAATGAATTTTTTTATTTATTACACATAATTTATTTGTAAGTTAACACTTAATCATGTTAAAACAAACTGTTGATTTTTTAAACATATTTCAAAAATAATAATTCAACTTTACCACAGAGCCCTCTAATACATGGCCATCCTGCTTTGTGGCACTAATATAGCCCTCTCTCTTGGCAAAGTTAACAAACCCATAACCACGGGACATTCCTGTATCTTTATTCTACGAGAGATTTCAAAGAAAAGGGGAGAATTATTTGATACTGTTCAAAAAAATTACTCTTGAGCTTTCAGGATGTTGAATTTTAATATATTTCAAATGATTATTATGGTCATACAGTAAACAAATGCAAATCAAACAAATTTCATTAAGACAACAAGCATTTCTATCAGTTTGTATAAACAATAAAATATCAGCAGTTAATTTAGAGTACAAAAAAGTATACTTTGTTCCATATAACTATCAGTTTCAAAATAGTCTGAATAAAATTTTAATTTATTCAAGCTCATACCATGTCAAAAATACTAAACTTACTATAATGGATGTAGCATGTATATATGTGACCGAAATAATAAATATAATGTGGCGCCATCTATTGAATGCACCACAAACAAAAATTCATAAAAAAACTTAAGGTTCCAAAATTCATGAACCACCTGAACATGAACAGACAGTGTGTAGCTATATAATTCATAATACAAATAAAAGATAATCTCCTATTTCTAGATAAGTGGTAATCAAAACACATACTGGTAAATACCTCCACTATAAATAAAACCATGGGTGTTTTAGAACATATAGTCACCAGAGTAACCATGATTTGTAGTGAAGAAGAAGCTAAAAAAAAAAAGAATGAAAAAACACATCACTAGCACTCTCTCTTCGACAGTAGATACACTCGGTAAAAAGAAAATAAGGAAGACGAACACTAAGTATAAAGAGTGACGAAAACTACACACACATAGCCACATTCTGCTCATAGGATTGTGTTTAGTGTTCATTAAAAAATTAAAACAAACTTTACTTACAAAAATGACAAGAGCTGAAGCTACGTATCCAAACTGGGAGAAATATTCTTTAAGTTCACCTGTGGGAATATAAAATTAATTATTATAGGCAATGAATAACTTCTTTTTTTTTATTTGTCATATCTGTCAATCACTCAAGTCAATAGCTGGACAATTACTTGTTTACCTCTGAGCAACAACTGCATTGATTAGTGTCTCGTAAAATAATCAAGTAATCAAGATTTGTGTTTCCTATTATCCTAACTGTTCAAGTAATCAAAATAATACCATTATGGTTTCTCACTATTATTTTTCATTAATTCAGAGTTGTTCAATTTAATTACTTAGTGTTGTAATTCAAGAAAACTATCAACTAATCAAAATTATTTCTGATTATTTAAGTTATGCAAATCTCACGTGAAATGAATTGTTTAGTTGAATGTAATTGATTAACGAGTCAAACAATCAATTGATCATCAAACTCCACTAATCATCCAGCTCTACAAATCAATAGCTTTTATTTATTATATCCGTAAAATTAAAAAATGTGTCTTTGAAGGACAAGGTTTTGAAATATGTTTTCTATATGAAGAAAATATATGGATACATTATTAAAATTTCTGTGGAAATCAGATTTAGCATATTATAAATATATATAGCTCAATGTGTCAATAATTGACTGGCCCACACAAATTTATATCTGATGTTTTACTTCTAGATATTCCTCACATCATATATAGAACTTTCCAGGTATTCCAGGCAAATTATAAAATTTAATATTTTGAAATGATTTTTTAAACTATGGATTACTTGTCATTAATTTTTGTTTGTCACTAGATGTATATAAACTATAAACCTTTGTAACTAAAAATTTAATACATGAACCCATTTTTATTTCATTTATTTATAAGATATATTTAACCCATGAACATAATGACGTAAAATTTTCAAAAAATTAAAATTGGAAAAATCAATATCAATTTGTCATACTAGTTATACAAGAAATTTGTCCAGAGCCAGTCTTTGCACCTATGTAGAAATGACATTTCATGACTTTTCTATGAAAATTTTTAGAAAGTCAAGGATCATTTCGTGTGGATTATCCGGAAAACTGCAGCCGGACTCACATATATTCAAATGTAAATTTTATCTTCTTCGTTACACCACACTCACAAACAAGTTGGTCTAGGCCTAATTGGTAGCTTGATTAGGCCTTTAACGCTAAATGTTACTATAGTAAGGAATAAGAAGGTATAAAATTAATTGTTGCTGGCCAGTTACCTCCCTGTGGTCAGTGGTTTGGAATTAAGGATGGTACAATGCCACGTGGCCTGTACACTGACAAAATGTACTTGGACAGGACTCCGCAAGTGAAAGGAGGAGAGCATGTGCTTTGACATATCCTGAGTTCCTCTAGCATGCAAATAAATAGATATATAATAAGTCTGCTTGTGCTATCAGCTACATTTTAGATGCTAAGAAGTCATGTAGGATATAGAAAAAACAACAAATCACAATACATGAAAAGTGGGTCGATTATCATTGTTTCTTGTTAACTGAGTATATTTAATTAAGTTTGATTATATGAGACTTATTTGATTGCAATAGCCTACGGATTTGTTATGAACTATATTTTCAATGTTAGGTAGAGGGCGTATGTCGTTAAGATCGAAAAGTTCATAAAAGTATAATAACTTCTTATATGATACTGAAGTATTAGCATTACATTATGTGCAGAACGTTCACCTTTCTGAACTAAGTTAAACCTAATGAACCCCAACATTGCCAGCAATAAGTACAATTTAATATTGAACAGAACACACATCAAATCAAAACAAACTGTGTGTACTACTAATCTAATTAAGCCTAATATAATGTGAAATGAACAATGATATGTAGCTTTGCATAATTTATTCCAATTTAACACATAATTCTCAAATTTTGTTTCCACAATCATAAGATATCAGTGTATAATTCCTGCAGGGGTGATTGGACTTTTCTACGTTGATACACTTTATGAGCGTAAATTGTCGATGTCAATGTAATTCCAGCAAGTAAGAGCTGACACTGATGTTACAGTTAGTTAGGCAATGATGGGGAGCTGATACTGATGTTACAGTTAGTTAGGCAGTGATGGGGAGCTGATACTGATGTTACAGTTAGTTAGGTAGTGATGGGGAGCTGATACTGATGTTAGTTAGTTAGACAGTGATGGGGAGCTGACACTGATGTTACAGTTAGTTAGGTAGTGATGGGGAGCTGATACTGATGTTACAGTTAGTTAGACAGTGATGGGATTTTAACACTTACTCACTTTAGTAAGACGTTTACACTGATAGCACTATTAGTAGTAGTATCTTGTGATGTATTACTGGTGTAAACAATTAATGGGGTAGTTCGTTACTAACTGATCCATAGTCAGAGGTTAGGATGTTTTATATGTCAACTATCAATGAAGATAACTAAGAAGGATTTTTTATTAAGAATGTCCCATCTGATGGTACACACTGATTTTATTATTTAAGTGAAACAGCAGGTAGATATCTTGTGAAAGTCACTGTTTTGATCATATTTTATTCTTCTTTGAAAGTTCCAGTTGTACATGTTCAACAATACTGCTAAAATCTGAGGGAAAGAAATGTAAAGAACAAATTATGTGCTATAAAAATAATTACAAAAAACTACTAATACGGTACCATTTCTTCCTTAAAAATAAACAAATGAATCTAGTACAAAATTACACTTACAATAAGTTTACAAGTTGATTCATAACTTACTATACCCTCCTAGTTGATTCATAACTTACTATACCCTCCTGTGTTTCAGTGGTAGGCTAAGAGCTTATGATGCTAAAAAGCGGGTTTCAGTACCTATAGTGGGCACAATAAACTACAGATAGCCCATTGTGTAGCTTTGTGTTCCATAAATACAAACTTACTATACGTATAAAAAAAGAAAAATATTTAAAAATGACGAACCATTTATCCTAGCAACAATTATAAACTACCACTACAATTACAATAAATTACGTTCTAAACCTTAAAAAAAAAAGAGCTCCATTACGAGTTTTAACTTGATAACAAACATGGAGAATTAAAAAACACGTAGATGTTTAATGTCTAATAATAGTACTCAAACATGAAACAGTTTGAGTCATTTAACTTATAATTTTATAAATAAGTAGTAATTCCATTTTTTTTTACTACACTAAAAATATTTTACATCATTGTAGCCTGCAGTTATAACTTAAATTAACTTAGTCTTAATCTTAGTCATATTCATAGGAATTATGAACTATAAGTATAAACATGGGCGCCCGCAGGAAGGAGCAAGAGGGGGCATATGACCCCCTTACATTTCACAAAAAATTGCACGCATTATGATGTAAACTTAACATCGTAGTTAAACTAAATATTTTTGGTAATTTGTATTAAAACTGTAAATTTGTGTTTGCGTTTAAGCACACATAACACATATTCTTTTAGTCTGTTGACTTACACTGTAATTTGTAAAAGTTGATTCCTTACAGTTACAGGCTACATTCATGTTTTGTCCCCCCCTTGAAAATATTTCTGTGGGCGCCCATGAGTATAAAATATCTACATACGTCTGCTGACTGTCCAAGGAAGGTTTCCAACAAATATTCGATGAATGGAACGTGAAGCCATGTCCTTTAATAAAATTTAATAATATTCGTACAGAATACAATCAAGCTAGAACTTATTGTACCACTACTTGAATTAATATAAATACTAATTTCAGTTCAAACCATGAGTTCTAGTTGTACTATTATCGCCGAAATACCTAGTAGCATCACACGCCACCTAACAAATATTTTGAGAAATATTGTATTTGACCAATTTCATACATATATATATTAAGTTATAGTTCATTGCACAAAATAAAAACATGCACATTTATTATATTTTCGAAATTTAAAGAACATATCTTCGCACTTCCTAAAAATATTTAATACTATCATATATGTCAGAGGAAAAAAAGGACTGCCATTTTTAACAAAGGAGTTTTAAAATCTGGTCGAAATGTTTTTAAAACGAATTGGATAAATAAACTGCAATTGATTTTTTCGTAAACCTGGAAGCGAAGTGAACATGGTAACCGTGTTTTGCAATTTCTAGACGATTCTCGGAGATATTAATAATAGTGTAGATTTTACAAACACCAATATTTAAGGTAAAATAGGGCGTTTGACTCGCAATCTGAGGGTCGCGGGTTCGAATCCCCGTCACACCAAACATGCTCGCCCTTTCAGCCGTGGGGCGTTATATGTGACGGTCAATCCCATTATTCTTTGGTAAAAGAGTAGCCCAAAAATTGACGGTGGGTGGTGATGACTAGCTGTCTTCCCTCTAGTCTTACACTGCTAAATTAGGGACGATTAGCGCAAATAGCTCTCGTGTAGCTTTGCGCGAAATTCAAAACCAATCTAAGGTAAAATATTAACAAATCTAGTAATATATTGCCCTTCAGTACCAAAAAGCGATCTTTTTTTACGGAAGTTAATTTATATATATTATTAGTTATGTGTTAATAGTCTAGATTATCGAATATTATTCAAATCATTTGAAGTTTTCTTATTATCATTTCCATAAGTAAAACTACATAACGGACTATCTGCACTCTGTCCATCGTGGGAATCAAATCCTAATTTTTTGCGTTGTAAGTTCGTAAACTTATCACTAACCCACCGAGGGACTGAAGTTTTATATATCTGTGTTTGTATTACTGTTTTTTAATAATATCAATACATCATTAAATATACATATATTACTGCAAGAGCACACTTTCCTATGAACATGTTCCTCATATTATTGCTTTGTTTAAAATATTTTAAAATTGATGACAATTCACAAACAACAAATTCCACTATGATTTTTAACTACAGATACCTAACTAACGAGTCATTATTGTCAGTACAATTTTTTGACTTCTTCAGTGCATAAAATTTAGAAATATACTGTTTATTTAAGAATTTATGAGAAATACATTGAAGTTTTTTTGTTGTTTTTTTACCAGATCGCTCTCTAGTGGCATAGCGGTATGTCTGAGGACTTACGACACTAGAAACCGGGTTTCGATACCTGTGGTTGGCAGAGCACAGATAGCCCTTTGTGTAGCTTTAGGCTTAACTACAAACAAACCATAAATTAATCTACATATTTCGAGAGTCTGTATAGAAATATAATTCATAATATGTCTGGGAATCTTTGATATGCTTTTCATGTCCCAAGTTGTCATGAACCTTTTTCTTTTCATTTCGCCCCCTGTGGCTTAGTGGTAAGTCTAAGGGCTTATAATGATGAAAATCAGGTATTTATGCCCGCGATGAGAAGAGTACGGATAACCCATTATGCAGCTTTGTGTTTAACAACATATAAATTTTCAACTTCTTTCTGTATGTTTTTTGTAAAGAACTTAAAAACGTTTATAAACATTTGTTATTATAAGTGATGTATTAGTATTTGTTGTTTGATATTCTAATTGTATTTAAACACTTATATAGACAATCCAAGTTTCATCAAATCTGACTTCTCGCATAACAATATTATTATTATCTCCGTTAATTAAAATATCGAAATTAGTAATTTCGTATTCTTCATCAAGTTCAAAACTCTCTGAAAATTTGATATTTTAATGATCATACCTAGTTGCATGATTTCATAATATGTCATAAAAAATATATCGGTCGTGATTTTGCAACAAGAATCATAGTATAAAAAATAAGTTATTTTTCCGCGGTAATTTTGGGCTGGTTCCTTAATCGTGATTTATTTTTAAAAATGGCGGATAAAGTTAAATCAGAAGCGCTTGACTGGAATATTGATACAGAAGTTCAACTTTTTCATGCAATGCGAGGCCACAAACCTGTTGGTAAGAATAAATTTAGCTTAGTGCACTGTTTGATATTACATTTTTGATAAATTGTAAGTTCATTATCCTTACCCAATACCGGCTTGGTCTATTAGTATTACAGTTTTTACACTGTTGTAAAAGTGTAATTTACAGTATTGTCAACTATCTGAACAGTATTAAATTATAAATAGTAAATTGCTACAGACGATACTATAACTGATAATCGTACTTCTACTACAACAGTCTGAGTCTGTTATTCTTATTTCTATATTCTACGGATTATAGAGAGACTAGTAATAGTACTACTAGTAGTATGACAGTCTTGAAGTTGAATTATAGTTATACCGTTGACTTGACGTTCTCAGATTAGAAAATTTTAACGAAGTACTAAGTTAAAAACTTAAATGTAAAATTTTATTTAGTCTTAATGTTCGACATTTTTGCTAACTGAGTAACTATACGAAACTGAGATGAATGTTCAATACGGTTTCGAAAGATAAGGTGTATTAATTAATAATAAATATTAATTGTTTATTTTAATATATTAATATTTATTGCACCCTTAAATATGAAAGTTAAATAGTGTTCATTCCAACATATCAATGGCACTAAACTGGAATCTCAAACACTCAATCATTTTATTCTTTTGCTATACCATTGAAGTTTTTCAATTCAAAACTTGCATGCAATTAATACAATATTATTGTATAGGTAATTTGCTAATAATGTTAAAAGATAAGGCAAATTTCTTGTTTCGTCAGAGAAAGTGTCAAGTGGAAGACTTCACACATTTCTTTAGGTAGTGTAGCAGGTACAACAGAATTAATTTTTATGTTGTTATTGTATGCAATAATTGACAAAAAAGACAGACGTAGCTGTGAGCGCCAATCAAATAAGTGGTGTCACCATTTCTGTAGACTTTCAAGTTTGAAATAGGAAAACTCTGCATCAGTGGTTCATATCTTTCTAAAAATTTAAAAAAGTTTATGTTAACACATTCACAGAATATTAAATAAACTTGGTCAAATAATTTGAAACATATTTTTTGTACGAGTTTGTAATTATTCATAAGACATTATAGAACAAAAGTCTGTTTAATTAAATATTCTACTTGTGTTATAATTTAAATAACTTTGAGTTGTTAGATCAAATAAAATGAAATGTAATTCATTATCGCAAAGTTTCATTGCTTTATGTATTGTTATACTATTACCATTAGTTTATAAAAGTCCATACATCCATGATTTTAACTGCTATAGCCTTTTAGTGGTGCAAGTCAAGGATCTTCAAGTAGCTTTAAAAATTTTAGCAACGCATGATTAATTGACATTTTTCATATGCATGAAACATTTCAAGCAATTCAAACATTTTCACTAACATTTCTTGAAAATCATTAAATCCGAAGCATCTGTTGACTAATTTAGTTTTGGATTTTTTTCATAGAGGAAATTAGATCAATATCAATTTACTCCTTTGCAATTAGTGTAAAATTGATTAAAACTGGATAAGAACATTACGCTAACTGCATCGAATCATATTTAAAATACTCTTTCAAAAGTAAGGTTCAATATTTTGAAGATTTAAAAGTTAAATAAAGAAATAAAAAACACACAAGTTCACTGATGTCTCATTTTAATTGAACTGATATGAAACAATTATTTCAATTTTTAGGAGTTAATAGGTTTTTCCAGATGATGTGTATTCTTGAGAAATTCAGCAACTCTATCAATAAAGAAATCTCCTCACAACAGATATGGGATCACCTAGATACCATGTATGATATGGCAGCTTTGGTAAGATTAGCTGTATGATATGACCTTTCTCTAATATCTGTACTTAAATATTTTGCATTTAAACTAACACAGATAATCTGTTTTTTTTTTTAAATATACAATTTGTTGACAGCTTACAGTAGTAGTTGAAAAAAATTTTTTTTTTGCATATTACAATAAGTAGAATGTTTCTACCAGTAATGTGGTCGTTTTCAAGAACATAGAGAGAACCAATCATTGTAATACTGATAGCAAGATAGACAACATACTTATAAACGGGTAAAATTAAAAGTGAAAAGGAAAAGAACTTTTCCATCGACCGTTGTAAGCTGTTAACAAATTAAATGTTGCCGTTTGGTAGGAAAAGCTCCTTCTTATGATTTGTTAATATGATTTGAGAGTAATTATGAAGAATAAAAAAAATTTTCATTGAGAAATACATTACACACGTGTAGCATCTTTTGTTTTGTAGTTATATGTTCTAATGACTGTTGACAAGAACAATTAAATATCAATAAAAGTCAGTTAAAACGAACACAAGTTACTGTTATGTGCTTTAGTTAGCATATATGTGATAAGGTAGAAAATAAGTTACACTACAATATATTTTGTTTGAAATCATATGTAGGAAAAATCGGTCGATGAACTTTGATATAAGACTTACTTTTTTTACAGTTTAGTGTAATTTGCTGATGTACCCATGTGATAAATGGTAAAAGGCTTATGAAAGTGTTTTCCAAAATATGCCAGTGGCAATATAGAGATTAATAGTACATAAGAATAAGATCTATATTCAGCCAACTGAAGAAATCTCATTCGTAACACTAGTGGCCACCCCCATTCACTGATCTATATTCAGTCAGCACTGGTACTATGAAGTCTATACGTTTTAAAAGAAAAAATAACTTCTTGACACATCTCGAATCATTCCTAGTTGATTAAGCCATATTTGACAGGTCCAAATACAAAATACAAAGTTTTTAAAAATTATATTAGAATTGACATGCAGTGTAGTGAAAAAAATAGTAGATTTACTAAACATTGTTACATAATTGTTTTCCTTCTACTGGTAGTTAGGTGTAAATTAAAACTTAAGTTACTAGCTCTACATAACCTTTGTAGGTTTCATTTGTGCTTATTTTGTTCTTGATTTAAAAACAAAATATTTTATTATGCTTTGGAATCTGTAATATATGTATTTATATTTAATATGAAGTCTATGTAGTGAAGTTTATGATACGAATTCAGACCAAACTTGTTGAGATACATGTTTGTTTTTCTTAAAAGAGAAAAATTGTACTTGTTTATTTTTATTAAAGAAAAAGGCACACATAGAAAGAATAATCAAATCACTGTTTTGACTTCATCAGTTTTAACTGCTACACATCTCTTGTCAGTATACCCAATCCATTTAAACTTCATTTTTGGAAGTTCGCTCTACAGATTATTGTTCGTCTTCAACTTAAGATACATGTATGTAATTTATTTGTCTACTACATACTCCAAATAGAAAGATTGCCATGAAATTTAACTTAGCAGAAGAATACTGTGTGTGGATTTTTATTTGTAATGATATTCTGTTTTAGCACGAATCTGAAATTCTTCCCTTCCCCAATGATGAAATTGAATTTTTTCTTCCTGAATCTGATTTTGGAGAGTTACTCATGGACAAAGAAGATGACACGAGCTCTTCATCTGGGTCTACCACGCCCTCTTTCAAAGAATCCAAGGGAGATAGTAGCCTTTCAAAAAATGAAGGTAAAACTGGGAAGGACACACCTACATCATCCAAAGGTGGTAAAACTGGTAAGGACACACCTACATCATCCAAAGGTGGTAAAACTGATCTATCGTCCAGTTCAAAGGGAAGTCGAGGAGATTCAACTAAAGGGGACTCTGGAGCAAAAGGAGGTAAAGGGGAATCATCTGGAACCTCTCAAAAAGGAAATAAATTTGAAGGTTCTAAGACTGAAAGTAGTGCAAAAGGTGCCAAAAGAGAAACTTCTAAGAATGACTTGAGTGGAAATCCAAAAGGCATCAAAGGAGATACTTTGAAGGGAAGGAAGAGTGATGGGACGGGGAGCGCTAAGAAAAAGAGAAGGGAGTCGGAAGAAAGCTCCAAAAGTGTAACTCCCGTTGCCACTAAGGGAAATAAGTCTGATAGTGCAAACAGCTCCTCCAAAACTCCTGCCAGTGCTAAAGGCAGCAAAGGTGATAGTCACAAATTAGGAAAAGGAAGCGCTAAAGGTGACGTGTCTTCATCAGAAGAGAGTGTAGGAGGTGATTATTTAATATTTATTTGTTCTAGTAACATAATTTAAAATATGGAAGTTTTAAATGGTTAAATCACAAAGTTAAAAAGTGCAAGATAACTTAAAACCCGGTTTTACCACAGCTGTTTTTTTTATAAATGTGTTTCAAGATGTTTTAACCTGTAACTATTGTTTATACCAAACACAATTAGTTTTGCAAGTATAAAGACTAGATGCTTATTTTACTAATTCAGCAGTCTTTTTCTCGTGATTGCTACGTGAGACAAAGGAGAAATTTCAGTTGCTATTATTTTTTTTTTTATGTGCTTTCCTATGTTTTCCTTTGTATTATTTCTGTTGTATTACAAGATCTGCTATTGGTGATTAACTTATATATATATATAATCTTGAAGCACAAAATTTGGAATTTAACCCTGATGATCGTTAACTTTTTAATTTAACACGTTGGTTAAAAGCTGTTATCTTTGTCTTTGAAACTTGTTGCTTCTTTTCAACCCGACAAACCATTTGAAATTATATTATGCTCGAGTACAATGTGCTTTAGTTACAAACAGTTTTATATCTGTTGTACGTGAGACTTATTGTCGTTTTACTGCACTGAATAAAAAGTAATCCGATATAAGTGGATGTAAAAAAAATAGTCTATAAATAAACATAAGTGCAGTGTTTGAATATTAAATAGATGTAGGTTGGTATCATGTGATGAAGATATATCTGTACTAACCTTGAATTTGTTTACATAAATTTTAAAGTGAGAATTTCCACATTTATTAAAAAATAAAAAAACATGGTTAGTTTTATATATATATCATAAATGTAACATTATGAATCTTCACTGTAGGATGACTTGTAACGTTTATTTTTTGTTATCATACTGCTGTATAGTTATAGTCTGCTTATGTAACACAAACAGCTTTATTATACGTCTGCTTTAAAACCAAAACATTTGTTTTTTCAGCCACACCCAAATCTAGCAAACATCATTCATCTAAGGAAGATACATCCGAAACGCCAAAGAGGAAACGTTTATCTTCTAACACACCACAGTCCGCTAAAAAACGAAGAACGTGACAAGAACAAGAGCATATTGCCCCTTTTTTTTTCTTCATAGGCTGTTCAGATGGAAGAATTATCTGAACAGCAGTGATACAGGTTCCAGACAGACAGACAGTGTGATTTTAGTGAAGTCATAGATTCGTACATTTTCATTCAGAAGACTTCTGTGAAAAATACTCTTTCTGTTTATTGTTTGTTTATATGGAAGTTACCAGAAGTTGAAATTGAATGACTAACAGAAAAAAAATACATGTCAAGTTAATGAACTGGAAACAAACGTCACCGCTCATCAAAATAACTTTTATATTATATGTACTTGTGATGTTACTTGGTATAATAGTAATAAACCATTAAATCTCAACCTGAGTCTTGGTAATTAGAATCACTAAATTTATTGTTCCCAAAGCTTACAGCTAATACGTGCTCGTGATTATACAATGCAAAAGTTTTTATTATGGGGTGGGAGAGCACTATGTATAATAATTTGACCTTTTGAACCCATATTACCACAACTTAAAAGGTGAGGTTTATCGTGGGACCTACCCCGTCCAACTCCTAATTTTGTTAAAGACTGTGTAATTTGATACGATGTACCATTCGATATCGTTAATTAAAAACAACACCAACAAACAAACTGTATCTGAATATTTTACCATTACAACTGTTATCCAATTTATGATCGCTTGTTTAACTTTTAGTGATGTCACTGTACAAGAACGAGTAGTGATGGCCCAATTTTAAATTGCAACGTCATTTTTCACCTGGCGTCTTCTGTGCAAAAATTATAAAGTACTAAAGTTTATACAAGTTTGTTTGCAGTTAAGCACAAAGCTACACAAAGGACTATCTGCTCTGCCCACCACGGGTATTGAAACCCGGTTTCTAGCGTTGTAAGTCCGAAGATATTCCGCTGTGCCACTGGGGGGGGGGGGGTCGTTAATGCAGTATAAAATTTAAATGCAATACAATAATTTTTGTTTGCAACTGGTTACAAAAAGTTCATTGACTAACGCTGTTTCACTGTAAAGTAATGATCGAAAAAAAAAAGATCAAATACGTTTATGTGCACAAAGGTGGAAATACGCCATGCTGGAAAACCGTTGTAGTAAATTAATTTGAACATTTCAAACAAACTGAGCCAGATATGTAATCTTTAGTTAGTAAAGAATGTGTAAAATGTAATAAGTCTGATCTTAAGGGTCGTGACGTAGTGGTTCATTTGCCCGGGTTGTGGTTCCGAGATTCATGGTTCACTTCCTGTTGCTGCAAAAGAAAAAAATAAAAGGGTCACAGGTGCGCTGTAAGAGTGATGGTGAACTTCCCTATTCGATCTGACAATAACTGACGGTGGGTGCTGTTGATTAGCCGCCTTCCCTCTAGTCTATCTTTTCAAAGTGCAAATATTCCTCGTGTAGCTTTGCTAGTAAATTATAAGGCAAAAGGACTTAAGGATAACCACAATTTTTTGAATAATATTTCCGTTACGAAGAGATGGGTTGTTCTACACAGAGATATTAAATGCGTTATTGTATTTATAAAATAAAGTTTAGAAAATTCTGAAGAAAAGAGTTTCGTGACTGTACACCAAGCGCAAATATTAAATCTTTTTAGAATTTTTGAAAATATCAGTAATTTTTATCCACGTTAATATTAACTTTACAAAATACATGCCTTAATTTATATATATTTTTCTTTTTCTGGAGTAGATATACGCAAAATTCAACAACAAACAAACTCAGTGTGCCACTTACAAACTAACTTCCAGGTTCTGGACAAAAAACGAAAGCAACGTTAAATGAAAAGATAAAAAAAAGCTCTATTGATTCTCAGCTTGGCGTGTTATTGCTTTTTCTTATTTAATGAGAAATAGTATATTTTTATTGTATTTTCGAGACATATTAAGTCAATTAATGTTTATCACGTCATATATACACATACTTCCTTGTTGCGGCATTCCTCAGAGCCTTGAATGTGTAATTTGAGCAATTCGAATGTGTTTGTTTTACATAAGTATTGCTATTCTTATTCTTATTGTACTGTTGTTCTGATATATGTTTATTATTTATATATATGAGCAAATAATATGCATACAAGTTTTACAAATATCCGACGCATGATGGCGCTACAAGTACTATATTATTGAAGCTGTGTGTTTATGAGTTGGTACTGCTCGTTGGTGGAGAAGTTGTCGTGCATGTTAGTAATTTTTATCTGTCTTATGTATGCCAATAAAGACGAAAAACTTGTAATTTTTATACGCTAAGTGTAGCCTACTTATTTTTCTACAGAATTCAAATGGGTTCTTCAGTTGCTCAAAAGACTTGGGAAATGACTAATAATGTAGAAACTGTCCAAAATATAGATGAAATTTACAAATATAACAAAAAACAGCAACAAGATATTCTTACCGCAAAGCCGTGGGAAAAAGAGTAAGTAGGCATACATTATATTCGTTAGGCCTGCGTTCCGATACTGTACCATATACATATATAATTATGTATGAATTTTAAAAAGAGTGGTTGTCTTTATCATGGCTTATACGAAGTTATAGTTTTATACTTCAACTTTAAAGTTACTGAAACGAGGGCTAAATTCTTTAAATTGAATTGGTTTTTAATTTATTATGGAATGTGTTTTGTTACCAATACCAATCTTTACGGATATGTGCATTTTTTAAGATAAGTAATACTAATACTCGGAATGCTTCGAAAGTAGATAGCAAGTATTATCTTTAACTTCTAAGTTTATATTCTTAGTATAAGACTGCATTACATGCTGGTACACTCTTGAAACGTATCATTCAATAATTGTGTCACTCTCACGATGTTAATAAGTAAACCTTGTTATTATATTAATATTTTAGAATTTTATTCCTTTAGTTTTAGAACATTTATTGAAATACTATGCTCAATTATAGATAATTTATTTTCTGTTGTGTTGCACATCTTATTTCATTTCAAACATTGTATAAAAGGTTTCATAATCTACTCTTAATTTACTGGCACTGTAAAGAAGGAAAGTCAGACATTCAACTTGTACAGTTTGTGAAGTTGTTAAAAAAAAAAATGTTAGATTATAAGGTACATTTAGTATTCCAAGGATAATCCAGAGACGTGGTTCCCGATGTTAAGAACAGATAGAGGTTTGTGGGACTGGTATATGAAAAGATGTATGTAATGATTGGTTATGGGTGAAATGAAAGACAGAAGATATGTAGTTTAAATAAAAATAAACATTTTACTTACTGCAGTAAGGCAACAGAAAACATCTGTTTACTCCAGTGGGTGTTTTGTGTTGAAGTTTAAAATAAATAAGAGAAAACTAAGTAACTGCAGGTAATAAGAAAAAAGGAAACTAAAGTGAAGATAATTTGGTTTATTAACTGGAAGAAAATGTCCATAATAAGTCATTGTTGTTCAAAAATCTGCTCTTGTGTTCCATGTTCTCTCTCTAGCCTTCAAGTTGTGGAATTGGATCACAAGTGTCACCTGTGTTAGTCACTGAGCATTCCTACATA